AATTGTCTATTGCAATTAGTGCGTATTGTTTAACAGCCACGTAGAAAACAAATATATCGTCATTTTGAATTCAAATTCATATGAACAAATCAACTTTAATGAAGGTGATACTTAGAGCAAAGTCAGCACTCACCTGTCATCGTACACAAAATCACCACTTAATGTATTCAAATAAACCGCAGCGGACACAGAAGCAACAATAAAATAATATCGGGATGGAATTGTTGGTTCTATTGGATTACTTGAGACCATACTTCAGCTGAAACAGAATTACTCATCGAAGATTTTGAAGGTGTTGCTTGAACCAACAAGCTCCATTGAAAGATATGATCACATTTAATACAATGATAGCACAACGACGGAATAATAAAGCTTAGGGAATTTCGTAGCGTTTTATTCTGCACAATGAAATTCCTGAATACTGCTCAGGATCAGTGAGATTTTCACCGTGAATGAATATTTTTGCAAAGTATAGTTCTTGAAGAACTAAAACGGAGAGTCTTGAAGGCAAATGCTGAACTTGGGACTAATTTCAACTGAAAAGATACCTCCATCAAATGTCCCCCTCAAAGAATGGATATATCTTTTGAAAAGCGAATAAATATCTAGGATTTAGACAAAAATCATAGGCCGCACTCTCACGCAATACATAGATGCGTCTGTTATCCCGTATTTATCGGGCGTGGCATGATGACGAACGCAGTTGGCGTAAAGATGGAATAAAGTGTCATTCATAAGTTAGGCTGCAATTAGGGGCGGTGAACAGTAGTAGTGATCACTGAGGAAAGAGGGGGAAACCACGCCTTTAGATAATAATGAATACTACTACTGAGATTAGTTCGTAAAAGTTCACATCTGATAATCGTAAGGAGCAAGTTTTGTTGCTAAGGAAATGCAAATTCAAAGGCACAAAAAATTGTATCCAATGAACATTTCTCAGCAACGTTTTTTTCAATTAGAATCACTTAAACTTGTTTCGTGCATTCCTGAAATTCTAATCTCAAGCGTTACAGCTGAAACGTCCTGAAGAAAAGTTATTTTAAATGGGATTTTGAAATCGATCAATGAATGGGAAACTCTGGATTTTAATATTTTTATGATGTGATTACTAATGTGTGATTTAGTGGTAAACAAACGATTAATACTTGATCGCTACAAATATGGAAATTTGATTGCTATAAAACTGTCAGCGTTTATTGACATAGCATTTTGCGTATCTCCGATAGAAAGGAATGCCAAACAGAACAGAGTCGAATGAAATCATGACACCTTATAAACAGAAATTATCAAAAAAGCATACCTTCCCACATGAAGGGTCTGTCGATAGAGTGGAAGGTGTGAACAACGTTCATCATCGCAATAATATCAATTCAAATAATTTTTCATTGAAAGTATCCTTCAGGAGTCCATCAATTGCGATGGCCAAAAAAAGGTAAACATTGTTTCAGCTGAATTCTCTTCTAGATTTGCTTTATCAGTTCGAAACGTCGATTGCAATCATTGTGAAATTGAAAGCAACAGATCAAAAAAGTATTTGCTGAAAATGACTGATGCGATATTTTCACTGTTTCAGTCCGATATCCGCGGTAGCTGAATTCGAATCGAGGAAGTCGCCATGGCGATCGATATGGCTTTGCAATACGCTTCAATTTTTAAATGGAATTCAATTTTCCATCTTCTTCACTTCCATGTTACCCTATCTGCGAGCCGTAGGTATTTGATCGTCCTCTCGTTGCTGAAAAATTAAACGATTCGCACACTCAAGCAATCTTTTTATCATGCACTTACTGCCGGTTTTGCATACATAAATTTCACTTTGACTGAATTATCAAGATGAATCACCAAAAGCAAATCAAATACGCTTAAAAACTCTAAAATAAACTTTATTTATGACAGCTTGATCCAACAGTTGCATTGGATTTCTACGGTTGGATTGTCGCAGTTTTTCCACTCGGTCAAACGATTGCAGCGTTTATGTTCGGTGTTTGGAATCAAAAAACGAAATCTGCAAAGCATCCTGTCGCGGTTGGTGTTGTTTTGATGGGTTTAGGTAATTTCATCTACGGAACGTTACCTGTATATGAGTTTGGTTACAAATGGATTATGTTACTTGCGAGATTCATCGTTGGTTTGGGAGCAGGTTCGTTTTTGGTGTTAGTTTCGGTTTGTTCATTCGATTTCACTTCTTACATTGATCCATTTTACTTTGCATTCGTTTAGTTCGCTCTTCTCATCAAATAACCTCTACCATGAATGTTAACAATCAAATATCACATCACGGAATATCATTTTTTTTGCCGTTGCGAAATTATCCAGTCACCTAATGAACATACCTATCATGTGGTTTCGGTTAATTTGCGATCAAAAGTGCATCGCTGTTGTTGTGCAGTTTAATGCTACACTGTAAAAGTTCAAAAAATAAATGCCTATCAAGCATGTCATAAGCAAGATGTAACCGCTGAAGATATGTAGCGTTTAAGTTTCATATGTAGATTACGGGAAGGAAGACGACCCCCTGAAGAATGCGAATGGCTAATTAGAATATCTGGATCTGATGAATTTCATAGCTGACCAAGCTAGCGAAATGAATTGCCCATTTTGTGTGTATATTCGAGTGGTTATTGTGATTAGTCTGAATGCTCGGTCAGGTAATGTGAGCGTGCTGCGTACTTATGTGGCATGTGCATCGACACCAAAAGATAAAATGAAGGCGCTGTCGTTGGGCATTGGAATGTTTGTTTTCGGTTTCTCCATGGGTCCGGCAGTCATGGTATGATTTTGACGAGTCAACAAACCATTATTTCCATTGAAAAACGTTATCTTTCTCACAATGAGTACTTCATCGCTGACGTAAACAAATGCAAACATCATCCATCCAGCACGGTAGCGATCCCAGGAATAAAACTAACTTTCAAATTCCAGCGTTTTAAATATCATGGGATTGGAATGTTTAAGAAATTCTTCCTGATTATATTAATGCAAACTAGACATAAACAACCACCACCTTACATCATTCCGAACAGAATGATCAACATTGATCTTGTAATTGTAGCTGATCTTCACGCCGCTCGGCAAAGATGGATTTCGATTGGGATGGATTCAAGTGACGATGTACAATTTACCAGCATTTGCAATGGTAATCATCGCCGTCATATCATTGTTACTTCTTTTCACTTGCTTCGAAGAGGAGTATGCTGGAATTTTAAACGGTGGTCATAAGAACAGTAATGGCGTTTCAAAAGGTTTGTAACATATTTATCCTGTGCGATTAGTTCGATCACACATACAAGTGCCAGAGGATGCAGGAAGGTGGCATCCAAATGCTGAATTTCATTAGCAATTTGACAGAAGGTTAAAAGAAGGCGAAACCGTCGTGCTGAACTGATGAGTCAATCTATTACATGTGAACATGTAGTCGAGGGGATAGTATGTTGTCATGAGCTTGTTAAATTGTTTTCTGTTAGATTGTAATTGAAACGCTTCCAGTCAGTTGCACTTTCAGGCTCACTTTCATCTGTTATTGTGCCGAAATTCGATAAAGTTGCTGCATCTATTTGCATTGGTGTTTGGTTCGTGCAACAGTGTATCGGTACCAACGTAGAAGTGTACGTTTACACAACTTTAATTCGATATCACAAACAATTTTTCCTTCAAATCCGATTTTTTTCCTTCTAAATCCAATTTTCCTTTCCAAAAATCCGAATTTCACAAACTAGTAGATAATGGATTTATTGTTCGCAAGCGAATGGATTGTTCGCAAACAAATCGTCACTGATAGCTTGCGTCAGTGAGCACATCAGAGCAGGAGATCAATCTGAAATACAGATGTTACTAGTGAACAGTGTTATGAAAACCATTACCGCAGTTAATGGAGAGTGGAGAGTATCCTTGGAAAGGCACAAGTAATTGGCAGAGCTCAGAATAGTGATGTGAAGCGAGCACTAAAACTTGCAGATTAATGGTACCGATGACTATGGCCATGTACAACTGGAACAGCGAACAGGCAATCTTCTACAATGGTATTATCATTCTCGTCTCGGCCGGATTCTCTTCTGCTGTCTACTTAATTATGGGCTGTACAAGAATTGGCAAGAAGTGTTATACTATTTTGATTTATTTCATTTCCTTCGCAAAATTTCCCTTTCACAGCCGATAGCAATTTCTGAGAATATTCTCAAAATGAGTTTGGTTCGTCCATTTCAAGCATAAATTACCTCCTCTTAAGTTTGAAAAGCAGAAGGATTCAAAAGATTTTCTTCCAGAGATAAACGACTATTGATTGGATTTGGAATAATAGTTTTCATGCTGCATCACCTACTTCTCATACCGTGGCCTTTCTACAGTGGTCCATTGGACTATACGCCATTAGGTTGGTTATCCAAATCGTTCTGACGAAGCTTTTTGAAGGGATGAACAACAGATACAGAGCAAATTCATTAAGCCGACTTCATAGAGCACTGTTTACTTCAAAGCAATCGTTTTTTTTAAATGTATGTGTATGCAATGTATTCACAGTAACAACCTCATGATTTCCTCTTCTGCTGCAGTCGGTAATTCAACCGATCTGAATTTATTTGGTGGTTGTCTCCGAACCTATGAATGGTGTTCGTACACCACACGAGTGCCACTAGTGGTATATGTTTTTGCAAGCGTAATTTTAATGGGTACTGCATTTCCAACGATTGGTGCCTCTGGCGGGACACTTTTCGCCGAAGTAATCGGTCCAAGGAATCAGGTGACCATTCAGCTATTATTGTCAGGACTTTGGATCAGAACTATCCTATCAACATACCAACTTTCATCAGAATGAATGCTTGATGTGATAAATTTTCAATTCAGTTTTATGATCGCATGATTCACTTCCAGGGATTTATGCAAGGGGTGTTCGCGTTTTTCGGCAGCGTTGGGCGATTTGTTGGACCCCTTTTTTCAACGTGAGTTCATAGTTATATACTATGGTTGTAATCGTAAGATCTAGGAATATAATCCATACTATTTCGTTTCAAGTTTCAATCGGTTGTCGCTGAAATTTTCGCTGATCTATCTGCAGAGAAGGCCGAGAATTACATATGCATGGAGTTGAAACATTTTTATTCGTTTACTCATGTATTTCCAAACTTTTCTGAAGTTTTACAGAAAACGATTTCCAGATATCTCTTTGAGAACGGCGGTTACTTACCACCAGTGGTAGTGCTATTAGGAATGTTGGCCAGTGCGCTGACTGCCGTGGTTATTTTCCGACGAAGACTTGTCCCATTACGGCTGACTCCTAAGATTGGTCTCGCAACGCCCTACAAGAATGGAATCTTCTATCGACTCTAAGATATTGTTGCTCATAAAAATGATCAGCATTGCAATCGAATGCTCTCCTCATTCTCATATTGATCTTCTGTGACCTCATCCCTTCAGTTGACCTAAATGGTTCATCGAATTGGATTCATATTGCTCATTCAAACGTTTTCAGTTGAAGAATCGAATTCATCGAAAACCATTTAAATATTTTACTGAACGGAAGTTATGTTGGCTTAAACGAGCTCACCTCATTTGCATACGTATTACGGTTCATTTTGGATGCTCAACGCCAAATTAAAGTGCTCGCATATCAATGATCCTTTGATCAATAAATGAATCTTGTTTAAGGTCTTACCACGGCTTAAACAGCAACATTGTCATTAAAAATATTGCTTCGGACAGATAATGCTTTCAATCATATAAAAATGTCTAACATAAAAAAACTGGGTTCCAAAACGATACCTATACTTAGTTTTTGAATACTTAAATATTTAGTGTTCCTATAATGTGCAAAACATCAAGTCTGAGAAATTCCATGCCCTTTAGGCGGAACTAACAAATCAGTTTTGAGCAAAATGAGTTTAGGTGAAGTTACAGCTCGCTAGATCAAGACTTGGCTTTATAAGCCATCGATGTTGATTTTGACACCGACATGATATATTACTTCCAGAATCCTGTGGTGCTATACTTTAAGCAAGACACGCAACCAAAGAGGAGCAATTCTCCGGCCAAAAAGTTGCACTCTGACGAATGCTGTTCTAAGCATCGTATATCATGTTCAGAATAATCACAAATTTAACCAATTACAAACTAAAGGTTACAGCCTGAATCACAAAATAATCCGGATTACTATGCGAAAAGCTCG